CAGAACCTTCATACCTTCCACCATAAACATCCCACAACCATACAGTCATGCTCAGATTGAAGACAACATCCAAAAGGCTGTCATTGCGCTCCAATTGAAGGAATTCAAATCAATTAGACTTGCTGCAGACCACTTCGAAGTTCCTAAGTCAACTCTTGCTGATAGGATGTCTGGGAAGAAAACGCGTGCTGTAGCTCACGAAATTGAACAAGCTCTCTCAAATGCAGAAGAAAATACACTAGCACGATGGATTACACGTCTCACTGCCACGGGTTTTCCTGCAACTCCTATGTTGATCAAGGAAATGGCTGAAGAAATTCGCGTACGACGCGTCCAAATCACGTCTTCTCAAACCACTCTTCGGACCAATCCTACCCCCATAGGCCATGAATGGATCTATAGATTCTTAAAACGACATCCAAACTTTAAAGGGGTCTACTCAAGACAACTAGAGTCTGCACGACATAAAGAAGCCACTCCTATAAAGATTTCAGCTTGGTTTGACGCGTTTAAAGAACGAATTGAAGAGCGAAAGTACAAGCCATGCAACATCTATAATATGGATGAGAACAGGTTTTGCAGTTGGAGAGACTCAATCCACACGAATAATTGTTGATTCTACCTTGAAATCCAATAGGAAGGTCACAGCTGGGAAGCAGGAGTGGATAACTGTACTTGAATGCATTGATGCAGACGGTGGTGCTTTACCACCTATGATTATATTCAAGGCTAAGAATACCAATTCAAGTTGGATTCCAAAGCACACCCCTACAAACTGGCACTTCTCAACAAGTAATAGTGGCTGGACTTCAAACAGTCATGGATTTGAGTGGTTGCGGAAGGTATTTGAGCCTGAGTCACGCAAAAAGTCTGGAAATCACCCGCGAATGTTGATTATGGATGGCCATTCTAGTCACATTACTGGCGATATGATTGCACTGTGCATTGAGAATGACATCGACCTTCTTATTCTACCGCCTCATTGCTCTCATCTACTCCAACCACTTGATGTTGGGGTGTATGGACCTCTTACGCGATTTCATGCTCAGGAAGTAGATCGGTATACTCGAGCAGGAATAAAGCGAATCCAGCGCTCCCACTGGGTTGAAATCTTCCGGTGTATTCGAGACAAGGGTCTTATACCTCAAAACATTAGAAGTGGGTGGAGGGCAGCAGGTTTAATACCCTTTCTCCCAGAAAGAGTTCTGGCTAACCTTCCACTTCCACCAACCGAACCACCTCGCACTCCTCAAAACTCAACCAATATCACTACTCTGGATCTCTCAATACTCCGAAGTTCTCCTCCAGATGGAACTGAACTAAGGCATGCAAATTTAGTATTTAATTCAAGTATGGCAACTTGTGACTCTCCTGCTTCACCAACTCGACGCTATGCCAAGAGAATGACTAGGCTGGTTGAAAGTCAGAATGCTGAACTCAGCATCCTTCGGAAGGAGGTAAAAGAGTACAAAGAGATACTTGAGACACGAAAGAAAAGAACTACGGGCAAGAGAATTAAGTTGCAAGGCGAATTTGTATTCAGTACCGAGGAAGTGTTGAAAATTGTCCGGGAGGCAGAGTTGAAGTCAACCGAGAAAAGACCACGTGGAAGGCCACGCAAATGGCCAATTGAAGAAGTAGACAAGGAAGTTGAAGAGGAAGAGGTAGAGAACGATTCAAGCGACCCAGAATTGGAATTGGAGGAGTGTGTGGCACGTAGGACTCGGTCAACTAGAGTAGAATAAACTTTTTGTCCGACTACCCCATACGTTACGTTATTTAAAAAGGAATTCCTGTTGTTGAGTATGATGGGGAGTACAGGTGAAGTTGGTAGGATTCTAACGGAACTGGAATTATTCCTTATTATATAACGTGCATGTATAACGAAAGTGCCAAAGAAGCGAAAGTGCCAAAATCATGCGGTGACCAACCCCCCCAACTAAATGTTAAATTCCTCCACAACAAAACATGTGCCATAAAAATGATGAAAGCAAATTAGTGCTAGCTATCCAAGCTATGCAAAGCGACCCTAATTTGCGCCTTCGAGTTGCAGCTAGGATCTATTCCGTAGACCACCGCAAGCTACGTCACCGTTTACAAGGTGTACCTTCACGACGCGATATCCAAGCCAACTTACGGATATTAAGTAACCTAGAGGAATCAGTTCTTGTTCAGTATATACTTGACTTAGCTGCTAAAGGGTTCCCTCCTCAGTTGTCTATTGTTGAAGATATGGCAAATCGACTACTTGCAACACGCGACGCGCCACGCGTCGGGTCACGTTGGGCTTCAAACTTTGTTAAGCGGCGTGTAGAGCTCCAGACACGCTTTCAGCGCAAATACGACTACCAGAGGGCTAAGTGCGAAGATCCAGAAGTTATTAATGGCTGGTTTGAGCTTGTGCGTAACACAATTGCGAAATATGGTATCGATGAAGCAGATATCTACAACTTTGATGAGACTGGGTTTATGATGGGCGTTATCTCAACTGCTATGGTTGTAACAAGCTCAGACGGGCGGGCAAAAGCAAAGAAGGTACAGCCTGGTAATCGGGAATGGGTTACAGTAATCCAAGGCGTTAGTTCTCAAGGTTGGGCAGTACCACCATTTATCATTGTTGCAGGCAAAAACCACCTTACATCTTGGTATGAGAATAGTGGATTTTCAAGCGATTGGGTAATCGCTGTTACTGCAAATGGCTGGACTACAAACGAGAGAGGTATGGATTGGATTCAGCATTTTGAGAAGCACACAAAGCCCCGGAGTGTTGGTGGTTATCGCTTGTTAGTCCTATATGGTCATGAGAGCCACCACTCAGACAAGTTTGAGGAGTACTGCAAAGAACACAGGCACTTTCGTTATACATGCACGTTATTCATAATGCCGCAGACGGATAACGTGCATGTATAACGAAAGTGCCAAACAAGCGAAAGTGCCAAAATATCGTGACTACCCCATAAGAATTGCGATAAATCCACCACAACAATATAAATTAATTAAAACTACTCAGAGTCCTCTTCCTCAGACCTGTCTATTACAATCTGACAAGTGCGCGCATTGTGTCCAGTCTCACCACACTTGCCACAGCGACGTGCATGGGTTTCTTCCCTTGGCTTCCGACCACTACTTGCCCTTATTTCTTGCTCTACTTGCTGCACAACGTCCCTCTCGTCCTGTAGCTCCTGTGCTACCTGTTGACTAAGTGATCCTCCTTGCTGTAGTTGTGTTTTTTTAGCTCTCCGGCGCTTGCTTAGCACTTCATTTGCCTGTTGCAGGTTTTGGTTCTCTGCTTTTAACAATGCTAATTGATGCATTATTTGCGATGCACCCTTTGTAAACTGGTCAACAGCTGCATAGATTGAGGTTGGAGAGCTATTTTGATGATGCGCAATTCGGTTTTTAATGAAAGTAGACTGTGATACAGCTTCAGTTGGGTTATTTGGTGTCTGAGAAACCCATGGTTGAGCAGTGTTTGGGCGAGAGGTTGGAGGTGTTGGCGTCTTAAACCTAAGGTCAAGTGTAGATATTACACTCTCAGGGCTAAATGGAAGAAGCCCAGCACCTCAGAACCCTCCCTGAATATTGCTTTCTGTCATTGCAATGTTAAATGCAGCGTGGAAGGCAGGAAAGAAGTCATCCTTAGTAATGTGAATAATATGAGCCCGCATCATATCTTCAATTTGCCGACCGTAAGCTCTCTTTAATGAGCCAAAACAGCCAACATCAAGTGGTTGGAGTATATGGGAAGAGTGAGCAGGCATACAAAGCGTAATAATGTTATGTTCTTTGCAGTACTCCTCAAACTTGTCTGAGTGGTGGCTCTCATGACCATCAAGGACTAACAAGCGATAACCACCAACACTCCGGGGCTTTGTCTGCTTCTCAAAATGCTGAATCCAATCCATACCTCTCATGTTTGTAGTCCATCCATTTGCAATAACAGCGATTACCCAATCTGCTGGAAATCCGCTATTCTCATACCAAGATGCAAGGTGGTTTTTACCTGCCACAATGACAAATGGCGGCACTGCCCAACCTTGAGAAAGTGTTGGACTACAAACGAGAGAGGTATGGATTGGTTACTACTGTTGCGCTTGAGATGACGCCCATCATAAACCCAGTCTCATCAAAGTTGTAGATATCTGCATTGTTGATGCCATACTTTAGAATTGTGTTCCATACAAGCTCAAACCAGCCACGAATGACTTCTGGATCTTCGCACTTAGCCCTCTGGTAGTCGTATTTTCGCTGGAAGCGTGTCCGGAGCTCTACATGGCGCTTAACAAAGTATGAAGCCCAACGTGACCCGACGCGTGACGCGTCGCGTGTTGCAAGTAGTCGATTTGCCATATCTTCAACAATAGACAACTGAGGAGGGAACCCTTTAGCAGCTAAGTCAAGTATATACTGAACAAGAACTGATTCCTCTAGGTTACTTAATTTCCGTAAGTTGGCTTGGATATCGCGTCGTGAAGGTATGCCTTGTAAACGGTGACGTAGCTTGCGGTGGTCTACGGAATAGATCCTAGCTGCAACTCGAAGGCGCAAATTTGGGTCGCTTTGCATAGCTTGGATAGCTAGCACTAATTTGCTTTCATCATTTTTATGGCGCATGTTTTGTTGTGGAGGAATTTAACATTTAGTTGGGGGGGTTGGTCACCGCATGATTTTGGCACTTTCGCTTCTTTGGCACTTTCGTTATACATGCACGTTATTCGTATTCAATACTGTTCTCGAGTATTCGGATATGAATGCTCGCATTCAAATTCCCCTTGCCTTCTGACCCAACTATCAACCAATGAGAGTTTCGCCTACTTCGCGCAGTCGGCAGCCTACATTCCAGACTCCCTAACCCGCATCCCCCTTCGTTCCGATGCGGTTACCCCCAAGACAACACATTGGGTAGCCCAAACGTTGTCGCTTGTGCGCAGTCACCTTTTGGAGCATGCGATTTTGATTACTCGCACTGTCATTCCCCCTACATCCCCCCCAGTCACCCCTTACCTCCCAACCCCCTTCTCAGCCCTCCATCTCAACACCAATTCGAAAACCGCCATTGCATTCGTCATCTCCTGCCCACACACCAACTTGGGATGCTTTTGCTCCAGCCACCGCCCGTACTCCGTCTCCTCCTGCAGCTCTCTCCCCGCGAGCTCTTGCACCCGGGCCCATAACCCCTCCTCCGTCGTAGCTGCTATCGCCGCTGGTATCACAACGTGCTTCCACTGACACCCTTTCCCTCCCCCCTTGTACCCATCCCGGCATAGCTGCTGCGACACATGACAGTAGAAGCAGCTTAGAAACTGCGCCTGTCGGTCCCGTCGGTAGTTAATCTTCCCCTGGAATTCCATGCACCCTCGGAAACTCAGGCACTCCTCGATCTCAGTGCACTCCATCCACTTGTGTCCTCTTGCCTCCTTCGCCCCCTTGAACATCCAGCACATCCGGCAACCCCACTGCCCAAGCTCCCTTACTTCCTCTAGCGCCGACTCCATCTGCTCCAACCCTCGTGCCACCTTTCGCCCGTACGCCTGAGACATAATCATCCCTTGCGTAGACAACTCACTCTTCCAGACCAGTTCCTGTCGCCTGCAGTTTTCGCACAGCACCGCTTCAATCCCCTTGCAGTCCCGTAGGTCACTGTCTAGGCACCGCCCAAGGATCCTACGCCGACACCCCTTTGTCCGGATGAAGCTGTTCACCTCGCGCCGTTTCAGCTCAAGGCAGCTGTCCTTTGCCGCGTCTTCCTCTGGCCAGTCCTTCTCCTCAATCACCACCACAGCTACAACACGCTCCCCACCCCTTCCGGCACGTCCAGCTTCCTGCGCATAGTCAATGATGGAATGTGGTGCTTCGAGGTGAAGGACATGTGAGATCCCTGGCACATCATTCCCGTCCCGAGAACGGCGGTGGCTACAATGTATGGCGTCTCACCGCCGAGCCACGCCTGGAAACCAGCCTCTCGCTGGGCAACGAAGTGAGCGTTGCTGTCCGCAGGATTGCCATGATAATAGTGGCACCCTAGCCGCTGAGCCAGCACCTTGCATTTTAAATGACTGTTGCAGTAAATGACCCCTTTCTCTCCAGGGGCAAGCCCTGCCACTCGGGATTCAACCAACTTCTGAACTTCTGTCGCTCCCCGCCCATTCTTCACCCGAACCACCGAATATTCCATATTGACACGGTGGCTAGAAGCGCGGATGTAAAGCGGGCTCTGCAGTTGCATGGCCTCCTCGAATTCTTGCTGGCAGAGCGGTGGCAATGTCCCAGTCAAAAACACAAACGGACACCCTAGGTTACGGAGGAGCACCAACCCCCGAAGCTTCCTTCGGTACTCGCCAGCTGCGGTAAACGTAAGCTGACACTCATCAATCACCACCCGGTCGAGCTTCCCCCGGACACCCACGTCTGCTGCCCATTGTAAGAAGTCATCACTCGAGGCTGCTTCTGCTGACACTAGTACCACCCTTGGCCAGCTCTCCTGTGCCTCGGGCCAGTGCTTGCAGTCTAGCCCAGCATCGATGCAGCGGGTGACCAGTTGCCGTTTTAGCTCCGCGTATGGTGCTACTACAATTGTGACCTTAGAACTGGACAGCATGGCTGGCACTATGAAGACTAGGCTTTTCTCACCGCCTGTTGGTAGGATCGCGACGATCGGGGTCTCCTTTGCTGCAGCCAGCCGCACCGCCTCCTTTTGCTGTGGTGTCCGGAACTGTGCATGGTCATCCCGCAGAACCGCCCGGAGAGCTTTTAGAAGGGCTTGCTCGGAAGCCACTTCGGAGACTGCCTTGTCGAGAGGCAGTATTTTAGGCCGCTTTCTAGGCGTCAGCCCTCCTGCGTCCGCCGCACATTCCCTTTTTAGGGATGGCTTTGATGACGGTGATAACCCTAACTCTATGAGTCCCAGGAACTTGTGCCACCGGTGGCTGACCTGACCAAATATCTCCAGCGACTCTGCCGTCAGGCGCTTTAGCACATCAATGGTGACACCATAATTTTCTGCAGTCTTGCTAGTGTGGCTAGCCGCCAGGTCATCCGGGATCTCATATTGTTCCGGGTCATCATCATCATCGTCATTCTCAAAGTCAGCCTTCTTCACGCCCCTATCGCGGGCAAGCTTCTTGCTGATGGCAACTGCAATGTGCCATCAATCCTGGAGTGTGATCCGCCGGCCCATGTAGTGGAGGGCCCAATTGGATACTGCTCTCGACATCTGACTACTCTCCCATGGCCCATTTTCGTCATGCCAGAATGAAATCACGTGTCGGGCCCATCTTGTCGTAACTGCATGGCTATTTAAAGATGAATCCTCTTTTCTTCGGATCAGAGACGCTCCTGGTCACCCTGGTCAAGGAAAAACTTTCCTTTCGAGGTTCATCCTGGACCTCTTGGATGATCGGATACCAAAAACCCGGGAACAAGGCAGCATTATCTACTTCTTCTTTTACGACCAAGCCAAGATGAGCAATTTCGGACCATTGAGTCGTTCTTGCGGTCAATATGAGACATTATACAATAGATTTACTTACTCCCTAGTGGCATGGCAGATTTGCCGTGCCCACTCTTTGTTTCGCCAACAAGCGTGAATTTAAAAACCTACTTGAACCTTTAAAGGTGCAAGGCTTCGGAGGGTCTGGTTCGGATTAACCAGGCATCGTATCAGGGCCAGCTCCGCCCGCTGGTTCTAGGCCGGCCTATATAATAATACGTAGGCCAGTAGGTAATTAGATAGTTCAATTGATTCTATTATACTGTATAGTGTCCTATACACTGTACGCTGAGCCCCGATTTCGCCTGTGCCACTTTGGTGTTCCCAAGTGATAATTCTGTTCGGCTGTGGGATAATCCGGAATTCTGCCCTGAATTTCCAATAATCCCCGACCGGACGGTAATCCTCCAGCACATCGTCAGGTGCTAACAAGTCACGTGCTACCGTGTTCTCGTGTTGTCAAGCCACACACATCAAAGAATAAACAAAAATAAACACACCGTCGAATCTCAAGACACTTCTTCACTGCCGCTATTTTAACTCGACACAATTCCTCCATATACCAAGGTCCATATGTAGGACTGTTTTATCATGAACATTCAAGCCCAATCTCTTCAACACGCCACGCCTCCAGAAAGCTTCACGAGCCCACCTTTAACTCCTCCACCGACTGAGGAGAAGGCGACGAGTTCGGCGTCGCGCATTATAAAGCAAATCATAAAGGAAATAGGGGATCGGCAGCAGGGTCGCAGCTCAACAGACGTACCTTGGGCTGGCTATACATTAGACCCGGAAGGATACCAGGTATTACTGGATCAGCTTCAAAGTGACGACTCCCTCTGGGGTTTTTTGCAAGACAAACTTCGGTATGATGAACAGATTACATCCGCTACTTAGCTAATACAAGCATATTACCTACAGATACGACTACTTCCCTTCTGCAAACCAGTTCGTTCTTCGAATGCCCACCATCGTGCATGAACGATTCATCGCTCAAATCGTCGAAGAAATACAAGTGCAGCTGAAATCCGTCACTGGCGAGTCGGCACAATTCGCAAACAAGATTGGCTCCTACGGCTCAGCATCAATCACATTCCCCGACCAAGACTACGGCAAGCATGATCCGGATGCGCAATTCCACCACTCTGATGCGCCCTATCCGGGGGTTGTGTTCGAGGTGTCATATGCGCAGAAAAGAAAAGATCTAGCACGTCTTGCTGACGATTATATTCTTGGGTCCGATAGCGATATTGGCGTCGTTATAGGTTTGGATATTGAGTATAGAGGGAGTAAGAAGGCGACCTTATCTGTGTGGCGGCCGAACGTCATAACAAATGACGTTGGAGAGAAAGAATTAGTCGCGGAGCAGGTAGTCACAAATCAGGTTTGCCTTCCCTATTTATTCCATTTCCATGTCATGACTTGGTATTTTAACATTGGATAGGTCTTCCGCCACAGCAATGGGGATCCGGGCAAATCAGGCCTTCAACTCCGCCTACGAGACTTTACTACAGCAGCCCTAGCGGAAGGAAGGCTCCGCGATCCGATTGATATCTCTGCTGCTACCCTGTGTACTTTTCTCGAGCACGCAGAGGAACGAGCGTCTTTCATTAAGCGGCAATCGAGTGTTGTTTCCTCTGCGAAACCTTGGACGAGGAAACGGCGTCGGGAAGCCACGCCGCCGGAAGGGCTCAGACGTATGGATGAAAAGAGGTTTCGAACCGATGAGAATAAAGTAGAGGATCAAGCGACAAAGGACGACTCCTCGTATAAGACTGGCTCTACGTCCGGGGTAGAGAGCAGTTGATTCGGACATTCTCGGGTTAATTTGCCGCGTTAGGTCTTTGCTCTGCCCTTGAGCTGTCAAGTGCCAAAATCGAAGAGACGAGCGCAAGGTGTCTGAAATCTAGCCTCAAGCGTCGCACACTCGGTGTCTGCAACCGTGCCGGCTGTGAGGCTGCGAAATGGGGCAAGGGCATAAATGGTAATTTAGTTCCTGTAGGCGTCGCTTGGAAAATCTGCCAATCATCAACTAGATGCGGTCTATGTCAGAAGGATTTGGTGGTTCAGGATAAAATGAGAACACTAACAATCATGTCTTGCCACATAGCAGTGATTTCTTCTGCAGTTTTCTGGTCGCCTAATACAGAATTCCAACTTCTTGCCATGCCAGCAAAGAGATCGCATTTGCCAATCCCTGGCTCCATAAAAGCAAACCTGTAAAAGTGCTCCCATGGGTGTGATAGAAGTCTTATTCGATTGGCTTCAAATTGCCAAGCGCCTAGGCATAGCACTAAGTGCTGTTCTGGGGTCATCATGCCATGGACTTCTCTGACAACATCCTGCACAACTTTGTTTTCCATTCCCGCGCATAGTCGTGCACCAAATAGCTTATTCAACATGTTGAGGGTTTGTTGAGAGTAAATCGTATCCGAAATTTTAGCCTTGATAGTTGTCCCTCTCTGTATTGTAGATCCAAGGATAGTTCTGTCAGGCGTGGATATGGGTTGAAGTTCATTCACGAGGGCATATTTGCTTGCATTGCCATCCCTACGATTGTAAGCAAGGAATGACTAACCAGTAGGACCTGGCATACACTTGAGTCACCGTTCTGTATGCCTGGGACGTTTTCTCTCCTGTATTTGTATTCCCAATGGATTCCTCTCCGCTCACTGCAAGAAACGGAGGAGACACCCATGTGGCGCGCATAGTCGCCACGGCCCTTGCTATATCTTCCAATGTCCCCAAAGGCGATAACCTAGGGCTATTCGGCGGAGTGTTCATTGATAAGAGTCCACGGAGGGGCCACAATCTATTGCAGCCAGAATATGAGTGATGTTTCGAAGACCGGAGTTGAACTTTCTGGGTAATCGCATGCCTTATATATTGCTCAATTCCTTGCCCATGCAAGACCAATCCCCCTACAAACTAACATCGGCCGGGGAGTTGCTGGGGGGCAATCCTCCCTCGTTCGGGATTACCAACGGCCAACGGTTTGCGGCGTCATGCATTGGCCGATTCAGTAATGCAGCAGTATGAGGGCAGCCCCTTGATGTGAGACAGTGAGAGCATTCGGGCTATGGATGGTTGATGCAGAGGTATGGACATGCTCATAATCTTAAGACGCTTTCATCAACTTGAGTATCATACTGACATTCGTTGCACTCAGTTTGCTATCAAACTCAAGAGCAAACTTGGAAATCTCCTCCTCAAACCTACAAGTCACTATACATATTTTGGCTTTATCACACCAACAACAAGAGCAATACTACTCAACGATTGCTACAACCATCTATGATTCATTACACGTCATCGCTCCTTAGTTACTGGGCCGATATTACCACATAGCATATCTCTACAACCCTCTATGATTCATTACATGACATCACTCATACTACCACATGACATATCTCTAACAACTAGAGGCCTAGGAGCATGAACGATAGCTCTAAAAGCTCCTACGCACCTCTATGATTCATTTCATCGCTCTTTAGTTACCCACAAGATTGGTTAAGTTATGACATAATTTGTCTATGACATAATTTGTCTATAGGGGTACTCTGACCTTGGACCTCCTTTTACTTCCTATAGGCTACGAACCTAAGAGATGGTTCTATGGGATTTTCTTACGTCGACTACAGTTACCAAGCCTGGTAAGTCATGGAAAGTCTTGGAAAATGAGAGAACTACACTCCTTTAGCATAAATAGGATTGCCCTTTCCTTAAGAAAGGGCAAGCAGACAATACAGTAAATCGACTATCACATACTTCCACGTCTTTTCCAAGCTTCCAAGCATTGATCTTGTTACTCCTTGTTTCTGAAAAGTCAGTGAGGTGTTAACCTCTGACTTACCCCTGAGTTCCCAGACTCAACATTTGTTGCAACTTGTCTGAACCACTTCACTACATCACACACCTGGTTGCTGCGTTGTGGAATAGTCTAAGCTACGACCCTTTGGCTCTGTTTTCTAAGACAGTGTGTTGTCTTAGTAAATTCATCCCTTCCTTGGGTGGCTAGATTCTCACATCTGGTGCACCCACCATTACATTGAGCTGCAGTACTGACCAAGGGTGCTGCGATTATGTAATCAGGAATTGTCATCGTCGCTTCCGAGTCAATCGTCGGGAATCATTGGTCACAGAAGTTGGCAGGCTCAAAAAGCAGATTGATCGAGAGCCATGGGGTTTCGTACGGAAAATTCAAGCCCCATGGGGCTTGATGTAATGGTGGGTGCACCAGATGTGAGAATCTAGGCACCCAAGGAAGGGATGAATTTACTAAGACAACACACTGTCTTAGGAAACAGAGCCAAAGGGTTGTAGCTTAGACTATTCCACAACGCAGCAATCAGGTGTATGATGTGGTGAAGTGGTTTAGACAAGTTGCAACAAATGTTGAGTCTGAGAACTCAGGGGTAAGTCAGAGGTTAGCACCTCACTGATTCAAAAACAGAGAATAACAAGATCAATGCTTGGAAGCTTGGAAAAGACGTAGAAGTATGTGCTAGTCGATTTACTGTATTGCCTGCTTGCCCTTTCTTAAGGAAAGGGCAATCCTATTTATGCCAAAGGAGTGTAGTTCTCTCATTTTCCATGACTTTCCATGACTAACCAGGCTTGGTAAATGTATTAGAAATCAAGTGCGACCCACAACTAGCTTGCTAATCATGTAGTGAACGTAAGAAAATCCCATAGAACCATCTCTTGGGTTCCTAGCCTATAGGAAGTGAAAAGGAGGTCCAAGGTCAGAGTACCTATAGATAAATTATGTCATAACTTAACCAATCTTGTGGGTAACTAAGGAGCGATGACGTGTAATGAATCATAGAGGGTTGTAGAAGCTTCTAGAGCTATCGTTCATGTTCCTAGGCCTCTAGTTGGTAGATATATGCCATGTGGTAGTATTGGCCCACCCCCTTAAGGAGGATATTTTCTTAAGAACTTGTTCAATGAGTGTCCAAATGATATGCCGTGATGTATGTAGCATAAACAGATGTAGTAGAAGAGTTTGCAGCAATCGTATTGCTTCTGTTGTTGGTGTGATAAGCCAAGATATGTATGGTGACTTGTAGGTTTGAGGAGGAGATTTCTAAGTTTGCTCTTGAGTTTGATAGCAAACTGAGTGCAACAAATGTCAGTATGACATGATCCCCCTTTTAAGGACGTTTGTGGGCTGTCTGCTTGCCCTTTAGCCAGGTGGCTTTCTTAGAAAGAAATTCTAGAATGAGCTTAGATGCATTTTTTAGATTTCTCTTAGGCTCCCAAGTGTTGTCACTTGTAGGATAGCCTTTCCACTTAACGAGGAAGTAGTCCTGACCTCTAAGTGTCTTTTTGTCAAGGATAGACTCTACTTCATATTCTGGTTGATCCAAGATCAGAACAGGAGGTGGAGGAGACTGAAGTGGTCTTAAGGAACTTTCTTGTGCCTTAGACAAGAGAGATGCATGGAAGACATTATGGATAGTCCAAGTAGGTGGTAATGCAAGCTCGAAAGCATTCTTGCCAATAGTCCTTGTGATCTTAAAAGGTCCAAGTCTTTTAGTATCAAGTTTGTTTGAAGGTCTAGTAGTTGTGATATGTCTTCTAGACAAAAAGACTTGATCACCAACTTTGAATTGTGGTGCAACCACCCCCCTGTTAAAGGCCTGAGCCTGCTCGTCTTGTGCACGCTGTATTTGAACCTTGAGATAGTCCTGGAGGCCCTTAAGGTAGATGATTCTTTCAGTAGCAGAAGGGTTTTTGAAATTTTCAGGACAATTCAGTTCTGCCACTTCAAACCTAGGGTGATAACCATAGTTTGCATAGAAAGGTGTCTCTTTTGTGGTGTTAGAGACTGTGTTGTTGTAAGCAAATTCTGCAAGATGGAGAAGATCTGCCCAGTTGTCTTGAGCATAGTTTGTATAAATTCTTAGATATTGTTCAAGTACAGAGTTGACTCTCTCTGTCTGGCCATCTGTTTGAGGGTGATAAGCTGTAGAGAAGCGTTGTTCCATGTTTAAGAGTTTAGAGAACTCCTTAAAAAAGTTTGAAGTGAAAACTGCTCCCCTATCTGAGATCCAGTGTCCAGGAATTCCATGATATTTAAAGACCACCTTGAGGAATAGCCACGCAAGTTCAGAAGCTGTGATAGTCTCATTGCAAGGCTCAAAGTGTGCCATTTTTGTGAGCCTTTCTACCACCACAAGGATAGAGTCATAAGGGGTAGCACCCCCTTTTGGGATAGAAGGAGGCAACTTGACTATAAAGTCAATGGATATGGAGTCCCATGGGCGTTCTGGTATAGGTAGAGGCTGCAAGAGGCCATAGGGCTTTTGCCGTGTAGGCTTGTTCAAGTTGCAAGTAGTGCAAGAAGATATATAGTCTTGAAGAGTAGTCCTTAGACTAGGCCAGTAGAACTTTCTTGTTAGAAGTTCATAAGTTTTTGCAAAGCCAAAGTGCCCTGCAGCTGGAGCATCATGAAACTGCTGTAGGAGGTGTAGCTGTAATCGTTTATCCCTTGGGACATAGATATAGTTCTTGAATAAGAGAAGTCCATGCTGATTTTTTGAGAAATTCTGTAGTCCAACTTTCTCAAGAGAGGAACCTTTCTTCTGGAGGTATTCCAAAGTTCTTTTCGCAAAGGGATCATGGTTGTAAGCATCTTTGAATGCTTTAAGAAGTGTTGCTGAGGGTGTATAGTCTTTAAAGGTCTCTGGTTCCTGAGAAGAGGTAATGGGGGCAACTTGGTCTTGAGGGGATAAGTTTACCCCTAAGTCCTCTGTAGTACTAGGGTTGCTTAAAGATGCTGCTATAAGCTTTGCTGAGTCTAGCAGAGCCTTTGTATTGCTAGTTTTAGCAGAATCTTGGTAGTCATGTCTTCTTGAGAGGAGATCTGCTCTTTGATTCTTGGCCCCTGAGACATGTTTTATAACAAAGTCAAAACCTCCTAGTTGTTCAGACCACCTTGCTTGTCGTCGATTGAGCTGTTCAGTGGTTGTAAAGGTCAAGAGATTTGAATGGTCACTGTAAATAGTGATAGGATAGTTTGCCCCTTCAAGGTAGCATCTCCAATGCTTTAGAGAACATACTATGGCAAGCAGTTCCTTGTCTGTAATGGGATAGTTTTGTTCAGCTGCTGATAGCTTTCTTGAGTAAAATGCCACAGGCTGTAGCTCTTCTTGTTTGTCTTTTGGAGCTTGGTATAAGATTCCAGAAATGGCAAAATCTGAGGCATCTGTCTCAAGAGTGGCAGGTTTCAAGGGGTTAAAGTGTAGTAACATTTTCCCTTCTTTAAATTCTCCTTTAAGAGCATCGAAAGCATCTTGCTGTGTCTTATCCCAGTGATACAAAGTGTCCTTGTGAAGTAATTGAGTAAGGGGTAAAGCCAAGGATGTATATCTTGGTATAAACCTCCTGTAATAGTTGGCAAACCCAAGGAAAGACTGAACCTCTTTAATGCTGGAAGGAATAGGCCACGTTTGTACTGCTTTTGTCTTTTCAGGGTCCATCTGAATGCCTTCTGTTGAAATTCTATGTCCTAAGAAATCAACTTGAGACATATGGAAAAGACATTTCTCAAGTTTGCAACAGAGTTGTGCTTGAGATAGCTTCTCTAAGACTTGTCTAACATGTAGAACATGCTCTTGAGTGTCTAAAGAGTATATAAGAATGTCGTCTAAGTAGACAACAACAAAGATATCCAAGTAAGGTCTTAGAATATCATTCATGAGAGCTTGGAAAGAAGCAGGTGCATTGGCAAGCCCAAAAGGCATTACCTGGTATTCAAAATGACCATAGCGTGTTCTGAATGCTGTCTTCCACTCATCACCTTCCTTGATGCGTATCAGGTTATAAGC